CCATTTTTCACACATCCCTTTGGAACCTGTTCAAGCACACAGTGGGAAATCCTAGTGCACACAATTTTGTATTCTAATGTTCAAATTGCAGAATTTAGGAAATTATTTTATGCTATTTTTATTAACCACAACTGGCTATAAGCCATTCTAGTGTTTCTATATAGCTTCACTATTATCCTTTTAATGACTACGTTATCTTTCATCATTTTGCTTTCTCCTTATTTACTAAGCCTGCAGTAGGACACTTAGGTGGCTGTAATAAAGAACGCTGCCTTGAACACCTTTGAGGGTACAGCTTGTGGAAATGATTTATTCTTTACGGAAGGGGTTGCTCTAGTGTTGTGTGGGGAGGAGTGTGGTTTTAAGCACAGGGGCACGTGTGTCTATTTGTTTGATCTCACAGCCATAGAAAGGTGAGAGGCAAAGAGCAGGGAGGCAGGACGTGGAGTTCTGGGTCCCAACCCCAGTTCTGTCACTTTGCAGGAGGGGGAGCATAGACATATGACATAACTTATCTGAGCCTCAGTTTCCTCATTTGTGCAAAGAACACAACGCAGCCCTTTCCAAGAGAGTGCCATGGCTCATGGCCTCACTGCCCTCAGGTCCCTGCTCCTATGGATGCCCCTCCTCAGAGGAGCCCTGGGACCTCTGTGCCTGGAAGCTTTCTCCATCACTTCGCCTGGCTCGATTTTCCTTCACATCACTTATCCTCTCTTACTCAGCTAGGTGGCCCAAACAAAATGCCACAGATGGGGGCCGGGGGTGGGGGGGGGGCGGTCTTAAGCAACAGACACTTATTTCTCACAGTCTGGAGGCTGCATGTCCAGGGTGGAGGTGGCAGTAGATCTGGTGTCTGATGAGAGTCCACTTCCTGGCCTATAGATGTCCCTCCAAGTGTGTCCTCACACATTGGAGAGCGGAGAGGAAGCAGCTCTTGGAACTCTTTTTTTTTTTTTTTTTTTTTTTTTGTATTTTACAGAGAGGAAGGGAGAGGGATAGAGAGTTAGAAACATCGATGAGAGAGAAACATCCATCAGCTTCCTCCTGCACACCCTCTACTGGGGATGTGCCCACAACCAAGGTACATGCCCTTGACTGGAATGGAACCTGGGACCCTTCAGTCCGCAGGCCGACGCTCTATCCACTGAGCCAACTGGTTAGGGCTCTTGGGACTCTTATAAAGCCACTAATCCCACCATGGGGCCTCCACCCTCATGACCACATCTATTCCTAATCGCCTCCCAAAGAACTCACCTAACACCATCACATTAAAGGGTTGAGTTACAACATGTGAATTTTGGGGGGACAGAAACATTCAGTCCAAGACCTCATCACATGGCATATTACTTGTTTACTTGTCTATTTATTCACTTTTCTTTTCCCTCCAGTAGCACGTGAGCTACAGAAGGGCAAAGGCTCTGCCTAAATGCCTGTGCCTGGCACAGGCCTGTGGACACATTGCACCTGTACATACAGCCGCCTGTCTGTCTCTGGGAGGCCAAGGAGAGGCGGTGGAAGCACCGGAAGTCCTGTGTTACTCTGTGGAGGTTGGAGGCAAGATGATAGGGTTGCATGTAGATGGTAATCTGGTTCCTCTTCCCATTTTGTGTGTCTGGTGGACAGCAAATCCTTGGAATTCTCTGAAAGTGTTTAGGGGACCAGAGGCAAGAGTGCAGCCAAGGTGACAGTGCTGGGCAGCGGCTGCCTGACAGCTGAGAGGAGCCATACTTACATGGATACCTCTGAAGCACTTCCTCATGCCCTCCCCCTTAAAATGTATCTCATGGTCTAGTTTAACTTTTATTTTTTACACACAGCTATATATCCATCTGCACAGTGTAATGAACCACCCTCCCCTTCTGAATCACCAGAGGCATCAACTTTCAATGGATTCCTTTACTTTTTATCACCACGTGCCTAAATAGCCCCCTCAGTCTCCCTTTAGATTTCTGTTTGCTCCTGTGAGGGACAATCCGGATTCACTCTCTCCCACCACACCCTGTCCTCCACCCCATACCCTTCCGGTGCCCCTTCCCTCCCTTCCAGAGTCCACTATAAACTCGGTTAGATCAACATCCATGTTTGCATGTTCATGTTTACATTATAAATGTTTGCATTATTGTCATTCTGTAAACGTTATTGGGAATGGAGGCTCCTAAAACTTTGCTTTTGTTGCACATCTTCTGTTTTCCCAGTATTTCATCATCGCCTCATTTTTTCTTGATCAGTTTTCTATGTAGTTCTCTCTCTTCTATGCCCAAGCTCTCCCTTACTTGTTCAAATCTCCTCTCCAAAGAACAAATTAACCAAATATCCCGTTAGTGTTACCTTCCTGAGGATGACTGTCCCCATCTGTCAGGTTAGGGTCCACCAGGAGCTGTAGGAGACCAGGCTGCTGGAGGCTAAGACCAACAGTAGTTAGCATAATTATGCGAGAAGTCCACTGGAAGGCTAATGGACTTTGATCTTCAGCAGGGCTGAAAATCAGCATAATATTGCCCTGCTATTGGACAAATAGCTGAAGGCAATCCCCTAACCTGATAATCCTTTTATTGTTTACCAAACTTTACCATTGATATGCCTGTTTGCATTCCTGAAGGGCAAATGTGTATTCAAGTAAATAAAAGCTGATGGGTCCAGGTTTCAGAGAACCTCTTTGCTAGAGAAAGGTCTCTGCCTGGCTCCCCATGCCTTCTAAATTTATATTTCTTGTCTAGTGTATTCATTTGTGCGTCAGCCCCTTATCCAAACTTTGAACCCTAGCCACAAATGGATGCAGCACTCACACCAAGCCAGTGAGGAAGCTAGAATTTGACTCAGGTTTTAACTGGGCCACTCCAGCTGCCATGCTAGGAACAGACTGAGGAGGGTGGCATTAGGGAGACCAGGAGGAGGCTATTTTAGTAATCTGGGTGTGAAACAAGGGTTTCCTAGGGTCCCCTGGGGTGGTTGTAGTAGAGATGGTGGGAAGTGACTGATTCTGAAAGATTTTGAAGGAAAGGCCAACAGTACTGGATGTGAGGTGGAAAGGAAGGAGAGGAAGCAGTATGACTGAGAACCAGGAATGAAGGATGAATGGGAAGGCTTAGGAAACTGTCTCAGTCCATGTGGCCTGCTGTAACAGACACTACAGACAGGGTGGCTCATAAACAACAGACATTCCCTCCCCCTGCCCCTGCCCCCCACAGTTCCGGAGGCTGGAAGTCCAAGATCCAGGCGCTAGCAGATTCAGTGTCTGGTGAGAGCCCCTTCTTCCTAGATGGCCATCTTTTCTCCGTGTCCTCCTCACATGGCAGAGGGAACAAGGGAGCTCTGGGCTCTCTTTTATAAGGGCACTCATCCCATTCATGGCAGCTGTGCCCTCATGACTTAAGCTCCTCCTAATACCATCACATTGGGGGGTAGATTTCAACATATGAATTTAAGGAGACACAAATATTCAGACCATCTATATATATAAAAGCCAAAGCGACCGAATGACTGAACGACTCAATGAGCAGTCGACCGGTTGCTATGACATGCACTGACCACAAGGGGGAAGATGCTCAACACAGGAGCTTCCCCCTGGTGGTCAGTGCGCTCCCACAGCGGGAGCGCCACTCAGCTGACCGATGGGCACCAGACACCGGGCTCATGGCTAGTGAGCACAGCTGCAGCAGTGCTACCAAGCTGCTGCAGCGGCAGGCACCCAAACCAGGCTCAGGCTCCTCCCTGGCCGCCTGACACTTCATGCGCTACTACATCCCCCGAGGCGTCCCAGATTGTGAGAGGGCACAGGCCATGCTGAGGAACCCCACCAGTGCACGAATCTGGGAACTGGGCCTCTAGTAAGATCATAATAGGGAAGATCCTGAGTTCAGGTGGAGCCACGTCAGGTGTTGGACTCTTTTGGACGTCCAAGTGAGATGTTGGGTGTACGGTTTAGGATCTTCAATAACCCTGTGTTCTGAAATATCCCAGTGCTATTTGCTCAGTTGCTATGGGCCCACTTTTCCTCACTGCACAAGGCACTCTGCAGCCCTCAACCCAAAAGCTCATGCCCCTTGGTTCTGCTAATTTTCTTAAATTTGTTTAATGATTTCCTCCCCTCTGTCTTCTCCGCTTTTCCTTCCTCAAACTACAGACCTGGACAGACCCATTTGCTTTTCTGTCCTATCCTGTTTCCCATCTTAGTCCTTTTGTTCTGTTTCTAGATGTTTCATCCCTTCTTTACTTGGGCTATTGCATTCTTAATCTACAAGAGCTTCTTTATGTTGCTGGAATGTTCTTTCTTAGAGCATCTTGCTGATTTATAACAGAGAATCACACTCATTTCTTCTGCATGACACCTAGTGGTGTGGCAGCCAGGGTCCCACAAGTTCAAGTCTGGGTCCATGTTCAATGCCACAACTTTCCCTGTGATCCAGGTTTTTTTCTCCCAACAAAACCATCCTCAGGCTCCTGACGAATCTCGGGGGCTTGCCAAGGACAGGTCAGCTGCCTCTGCAACAATCACCAGGGAAGAAGAGGGGCACAGAGAAAATATATGTGCTACAAACTGTATGTATGTGATTCTACAGATAATTTGTGTTAATTGTTTTTACAACAATGCCGTCAAAGTGTTATTTTTATTTTAGAGAAGAAAAAACACACACATTTCGTCAAACTGAATGGACTTTTGTATCTGGCTGTAAACGTTTTCTTTTGCTGTACCTGAAGTTAAAACATCAGGATCCAGGTTCCAAGTCCTTTTCAAACCCACGGGGGGGCCAGCTGATATGCAGGCTCTCCCATCACAGGGAGGGCTGGGGGCCAAGATGCGTTTTCATCGATCCGCTGTAAGTTCTAATTTTGAGACACTTTGGTCTAGAGCTGTGCTATCCAGTGAGATTCAAACGAAATACCTCCCGCTCCCCAGGCCTCCCTCAGAGCGCACAGGGGACCGGGGGAACGTTCGCAGCCGGAACCCGCCGCCGCGGCGCCGCGCCGCGCCGGAAGGATGTGCATAGGCACCGGACGTGGGGTGCGCGAGCAGCTGCGGTTCCGGTTCCGACCCGGCTGGAAGAGGAGGAGCGGGAAACCGCGCTGGCAGAGGTAGAGCCCGCTGCGCCGCCGCCCTTGCCCCGCCGCCCGCCGCGCCGTGTCCTCGAGTCCCCCCAGACCCACGGACATCCGCCGGCCCGCGGCCGCTCGGGCTACTGGCTCCGCGTCCCCGCCCCTCCCCTTCCTCCTGCGACCCGGCAGACTGTCCTCTGCTTGACCGCAGTGCCTGTCACGTGGAGGGACTCTGCCCTTCGCGGGGTGCTCGCGGGCCGGGTCCCTCCCCAGGCAGTGGTCCCGGAAGGATGTTGGAGTTAGTGGAGTCCACGTTTAGCCATTGTTAGAGGAAAACTTGGTCTGTTATGTCTAAAATCCACTTCTGTTCTCAGTGAGCCTGCCTCGAGCAGGTGTATCTCTGAACAAACGTAGCAATATGTAAGTGCCAGGTGTTTTGAAGGCCTTGTGAGCAGGCAACTTTCCGCAGAGAGGGGAGACCTTAAAAAGGAGGTGATGTTGAGCCGGGCTTTGAAGGGTGAATAGGAGTTTGCCCAAAGGGAAATGGGGAGAACTTAGGATGTGGGAACAGGAATCGCCTGTTTGGGAAGTGGTTGATTCCCTCAGGAGGGGAGATGTTTGTGGTTGGGGTTAGGCATACACTGATCAAGGGGCGACAAAGCTGAGCAGAGGAGCACAGGCATTCCCCGTGGGTTTCAGGGGGCCCGAGGAGGTTCCTGCACGGAAACCTGCCGGTCTAGTGATCTCTCCATAGTCTCTGCTGTGATTGTTGCAAAATGAGGCATCGTTGCTCTCACCCCATATCCCAGAACCTGTCTTCAGGGCAGACTGAATTGGTGGATTGGACTGTGGGCCTGGGATAGCAGGCTTCCTGCCTCCAGGTGGCCTTGTAAAAATAGTATTTTTACTTATTAATATGGATGGGGGTTTAAGTGTGTGTTTTTCCCTTTTGGTTTTTTGTATTTGAATGTAGTACTCATGAATGCAATGTGAATGTCTGTGACTTAAAAACACAACGTTGAAAACAACCTCCCCCAAACCGCAGGCATTGTGTTGAAGCAAATGTCCTCCACCACAGAGAGAGTGAAGTTCACCTTCATCAGGCAGCAGACAACAGGAAGTGCTGGGCTCTGCTTTAAACTCAGGGTCAGAGGGGTGAGAGGTTGGGGTGGTGTTAATCAGTCAGGTGCCATTTCATTCATTTTGAAACTAGCCACCTTCATTTGAATGCAAGTATCATTCTTATCAGGTAATTCTTGTCATGCAGCTCCATGGTGAGGATGGTGCAGCCACTTGCTCACCCCTTGGTGTGTGCCAGGTCATTCTCACAGAACTCTGTGTGCACATCTTGTTATTAGTCTATCTGTAGATGGGGCATTGAAGGCTTAGACAGGTGAAGAAAACTGGGTAGAAAGGAGGATGTTCCAGTCTGTGTCTGTTGACTCTGAAATCTGACCGCTTAACCAGAAGATGTGAACTTCCTGGTGTTGAGGGAGGGTTCTGAGAAGTCCATGTGCCCCAGTGGTCTGACTTGAGAATCTGGATGGTTAGAACACCCAGTGGTCTCTGCTGGGTCCCTGGATGGGCTCCTGCCTTCCAGAGGAACCTAAGAACAATGCATCGTCTGGGAGAAGGCCATCCTGGCTCACCAGAATGCAGGTTTCTGTGCTTTCACATCAGTGCACGGCTGTCTAAGGTTGGTTAGGGTACTAAGAGCAGTTTTATGAAGTTTGTTCATTGAAATGGAGAAAACCCATGGCCAACTTGCATTTACTTCGTGGTAGCTGTGCCTCCAGGGGTGGAGAGCCTCATGGCTAAAGGAGGCCTGTGGTTGTAAGGTGGAGCTCTCTTCCTGGGGTCCAGAAAGGTCTGGACCTGGGGTGTTCAGGACACAGACATCTTCCCTGAACCCATGTATTGTTTTACTTGTGCAAAGCAGTCCCAAACCCCCATGACTTTGGAGATTTTAGCTTTGTATTGAAAGAATTATGATGGAGTGTTTCAGGGTTCCATACCTGAGGGACATAAAAGCTGTTTTTAAAGGGTGGTGGCCCCGTGCTCCTAATATTTGGTGACAGAATAAATTAGTGCAACCTCTCTGGAGGCTACTCTGGCAATATTTACCCAAATTAAAATTAAATCTTTTTGTTGTGAGGCTCATGGGGAGCACCGGGCAGGGTCACTTGTCAGCATCTGCTCCACAAACACCCAGATCCGACCACAGTTACAATTGGCCACTAGGTCTCCTCTGCCTGTTTGCTTGCTGGCTCCTTCTCATCCTGAGCCTTAGCTATTTTGCTCCCCCTAGGAGGGCCTACCTGCAGGAGCACTCTGCTTTAGAGGCCAGTACTGTGTCTGCCTGGCTCATGCCTGTCCCCATGCAGAACCCAACTAGGTATTGCCACCTCCCAGACACTGAAGAGATTTGAAGGCAGGCGATGCAGGGTGGGGGGCATCCAGGTCTCTTGCTGCCACAGATGTGTGGCCTAATTGGTGCTCAGCATTAGCAAACCATGTATTTGAACTGCTTTTGTCAAAACGTTTTCATTGTCTGCATAGACCTTTTATGAACCAGTAGCTTTAATTGAAAGAAGAATGCTGTTGCCCAGGCCAGATGGCTCAGTTGGTTCTAGTGTCGTTTCGTACACCACGAAGGTTGCAGGTTTGATGCCTGGTCAGGGCACATACCTAGGTTGTGGGTTCCGTTCCAGGTTAGGGTGTGTTTGGGAGGCAACTGATCAATGTTTCTCTTTCCTTTCCTCTTTCTCTAAAGTCAATAAAAAACATCCTTGGGTGAGGATTAAAAAGAAAAAAGAAGAATGCTGTTATCTCATTTTATTTACCTCTATCATTTTGAGAAATTAAAGAGCTGTATAGACAGTTATAAACACCCTATAGATGCACCATCCAGAGCACATTTTTTATTTCTTTTTTGTATAAAAGAAAAAAAATAATGCTGAAGTTGAAGCATCTCCATTTAAAAAAATAAAAGACATTTAGTAGACTTTTAAAGTCTGATTACAAAAGTCATACATGCCAATTGTAGAAAGATTGGAGAAAATTGAGAAGCACTAAGAAGAAAACAAAAGTCACCTGTAGCCCTGCAACCTTGTGACCATCTGGGTGTTTACTTTTCATCTTCTTTTCAGCTCTGACCATCCTTTTTCCCTTGGCAGTAGTGGGGGAGCCTCTCCCAGATAGCTTGTCCCACCCACAGTGGGGCTACCGCCCCAACGCCCCACATGCATATGCCCTGATTTCCTCAGCCCTCTTCTGGACCACTTGGTTCAGTTCCAGTTTTTCAATATTATACATAACACTGCAGTGAACATCCCATATGTGCATCTTCATGTTCATTTCCGAATATTTTCTTAAGATACGTTTTTAAGTGCAACCACGGAATACAGGACCCACATTTCTATTTTCATGTCTCATTTTTAAGTGATTGGGAAGCGCCCTTTGGGATGGATGAGTCACGCCATGGGCATCACCTAGACTGGGACAGCCCTGCAGGTGAGACACTGTTGAGTTAACATGTGATGTCCTCTCTCAGTGCACTCCCCATCACTGACACTCCTCCATCACAGGCTCCTCACCACTTAGGGCAGTGATGGCGAACCTATGACACGCGTGTCAGAGGTGACACGCGAACTCATTTTTTTGGTTGATTTTCCTTTGTTAAATGGCATTTAAATATATAAAATAAATATAAAAAATATAAGTCTTTTACTATGGTTGCAAATATCAAAAAATTTCTATATGTGACACGGCACCAGAGTTAAGTTAGGGTTTTTCAAAATGCTGACACGCCGAGCTCAAAAGGTTCACCATCACTGACTTAGGGTATGACACACACGTGGGATCAGCCAAGTCTGGGTTTGGATCACTGCTTCAGGCCTATTATTTTCCCTTGGAGTTGTTGCTGTGACTGCCCACAGCGCATTTACCAGGGGGGAGGGGGCGGTCAGCCCTGTTTTCCATCTCAAACTGACTTCCCCCGCCCCCAGCCTAGGGAAGCTCCTAGTGCCCCAGGGGAATGAGGCAGAGATGGTAGGTGTCTGTTCGGTTTTAGTCCCCCTCTACCCATGCAAATAGAGATGAGTTTTCTAGAAGTGAGAAAAGAAAACATGTTAAAGCTGCCCTGGTTTGCTTTTCGCTGGCTTGCTTTCTGAAACTGGCGTGTCTCGCATGTTTATCAGACTTCTTGTTGTCTCTGGTCAAGCCTAGCTGTTTTCTGAAAATATGTGAGGTTTCTTTATAGTAACAGAAATCCAGGGTATAAAACTAGATGTGAACCCGCCTCTGAACCTTGTGTGGAGGGCAGCGTACAGAGAAGTCCTAGGGCACTCTCCGGCTTTTTCTTTCTCTTTTTGTTTGTTAATCCTCACCCAAGGATATTCTTTCAATTGATTTTTAGAGAGAGTGGAAGGGAGGGGGAGAGACAGAAAGAGAGAAACATGGATATGAGACACATCAATTGGTTGCACGAGCCCTAACTGGGGCTGAGGATGGAGCCTGCAACTCAGGTACATGCCCTTGACCAGAACTGAACCTGTGACCCTTCACTCCTCAAGCCGATGCTCTAAGCCAGCGGTTCTCAACCTGTGGGTCGAGACCCCTTTGTCGGTCAAACAGCCCTTTCACAGGGGTCGCCTAAGACCATCCTGCATATCAGATATTTACATTACGATTCATAACAGTAGCAACATGACAGTTATGAAGTAGCAACGAAAATAATTTTATGGTTGGGTCACAACATGAGGAACTGTATTTAAAGGGCCAGAAGGTTGAGAACCACTGCTCTAAGCACTGAACCAAACCGGCTCAGACCACTCTCTGGGTTTTAAAAAATGACCTCTTTCATCTAGAAACAGTATGGGCAAGTGTATTTGGAACTGAACTTTGTTAACGGTCCTGGAGCCTTAAGGAATATTTGCACAGAACCTGAGAGCAGTCAGCCAGAGCTGAGAGGCCTCTGTATGAAGCCCCTCTGGGTAGTGAGGGGTGTCTCTGAGGGGTGGGGTTTCCTCCCACCTGGTCAGGCCGGGAGACTATCTTACCAGGAGCCCCTGGCTGCTGGAGAAGCCAGCCAAGGAGGCTGATAGGCACAGGCCATTTCACATACTGAGGGGTCAGTGTGTGAATCAGAGCTCGGCTCAGCCATTTTTATTGTTGTGGAGTTTATTTTGTTAGGTAATTATAAAGTACTAGAGGCCTGATGCATGAAATTTGTGCAAGAATAGGCCTTCCTTCCCCCTGCTGCCCGTACCGGCTTCCCTCTGGCACCCGGGACCCGAGCTTCCCTCCGTCCCGGGCTTTGTCCGGAATGACGTCCAGAAGGAAGTCTGGTCTAATTAGCATAGTACCCTTTTATTATTATAGATTGTGTAGAACCTGTTTTTTAAATTAAGAACAGAGAACAAAACTGTTTCGTACATACATATAACAAACAATGGCACATTCCTTTTCCCTGGGTAGCAAGTTAATGACAGAGAGAGAAAAGTGTGGCTTTGTCAGGAGGAACGTGCTGAGCACAGAAGAAACAGATCCCTCCAAGCAGCACTGTGTGGGCAGGGTGTGGAAGACCGCAGAGAGAACTCTGAGGGAGGCAGTGCCAGCCTTGGGACAGCCTGGGCACCTCCTGCTGGGCAGAGCCACCTGCTGCGTGATTCCTGACCTTCCTAGATTTTCAGGGCCTGTCGGAAGGGGGGGTGAGATGTACAGCTTTTATTCTATAATGTTACTGGATGGCCCATTGGAAGGCATCATGCCAGCCCCTGGCATTCAGAGCACCCTTGGGGTTTCCTGTGCCTGCCCCACCCTTCAGGAAAAACTCAGCTAGTCCACGCCTCAGCTCCCTATCCTGGGTGCTGCTCTGACCCAGAGCCACAGTTGAAGCTGAGTGGGGAGCAGAGGCCAGAAGGTGCTTGCGAGGGCGGAACAGAGACCCTTCTTAGCTCCAGAGGCTATAATGGGAGGAGAGACTCCTGAAGGAGCTGTGAAATTGGGGCTTTCAAACCAGGGCAAATGGTTATTAACCTTAATAGGCGGCTCTGCACTGGGAAGGACCCATTTTCAGTTGCACTGGTAGCAAGGCGACTGGGGCAGCGGGTGGGCTCCTGACCTCTTGAACTGAGCTAAACTTGGGTTATAACTGCCATCAGTGCAGAAGCAATTGGAAAGCTCACTCACGGGACTGCCGCTGCGGGGAAGTGTCCTTCAGCGGAACGCGAGCGGAGTCAGACAGGCTCTTGGAGGCAGGCGCTTTGGACTGACTAGGGCCCTTCCCAGGTCTCTTTTCTTTCCGACCCCAGAGAATTCTAGTTGTAAGTCAGCTGATCACAGCCCCTTCCATCGAGTTCTCACTTCTTGCTGACCATTTTGGTCATTTTTTAGTAGTTATGTTTTGGGGGAGAGGGAAGAATTACGTTTCAGCTAAAAAAAAAAAAACAACAGTCTTCAGACACGTGAACTTTATTTAAGACCTTGCTCATCACCAAGTTCCTAAATATTCACCGCTGAGAAAGCGTTTGAGAGCAGAATCAAGCCCTGAGTCTGTGTGGGGATGCTTGGAGTCCTCTGACCTCGCCTGCTGACGGAGAGGACATTTGCTTAGTGGCCCTTGGTACTTATCCCCCTTAGCTAGTCTTTTTTCCCAAGCTCAGATTTTTAAAAACCATTATTCAGAATTTACCTTAAGTATGTGGGAGTTCAGAATGAGCCACCCCAAGATGTGCCTCATCGATTGGTACATGGATTGTTTTGAGCTAAAGGCAACTCAGACCCTGTGGGCTCAAGAACAACTTCAGCCCCTCTCCCCCTTAACTAAAGGACTTTAATTTCCTAATTGCCCATAAGAAGGGATTTTCAGAGATAGCGTTTCTTGACCTGCCTATATGACAGGGCAGACTTCTAATTACTGACCCTCTGCTCTTCCTATCCTGCGGTGACCTTTCCCTCCTCTGAAGCCCCCAGCAGCCTTACCTCATCCCTAGCCCAGACTGTCCTCTGTACCTATTTCCCCTTTCTCTCTTTGAACCTCTTCTATAGGTGGGGTCCCTGACTTTCTCATGTATGTGGGGCTCCCATGAAATTAAATTTGATTTTCCCTTCTCAGTCTCTCTGTTGGTTGGATTATCAGTCTAGCCAAAAGAGCCAGGGGAGGGGAAGGGGAATTTTTCCTCTTCCCCACAAGTGCATTGGATTCTATGTGCCTCTCCTCAGTTTTGCCTAGTGTAGTTCATTGTTTTCAAATCTTGTGTATTTTTGAAACCCTTAAACTAATGAGATTAAATGTTGGCTATTTAAATTCCAAAGGTAGTGTATTGTGAGAGTCAGTGTTTCCTACTTAGGATGTCACGTTTGATGGAAAGTTAGGCCAACTTGGTCTGGTTGGGCATTTTAAATCTTCTTCGGGTGAGTTAGGACGGGGTCAGGCACAGTAACATGTGGTGCTCTCTCTTCCTCTTCCAGCCCTGCCCCAGGGAAGCCAAGTTGATGTTTGTCGATGCAGCAGTGCCACCCCGCGTGGTGATGACCTTCCAGCGCCTGGTGTGTGCACTGGCCTCCCGCCAGCTGGCTCCCATAAGACTTGCAGGAAGCCGCCCTCTGCACGTAGCCCTTGCAGCTCGCTCTGACAAGAGCGCCCCAGTGTTCACCCGCGCCCTGGCCTTTGGAGACAGAGTTGCCCTCGTTGACCAGCATGGCGTCCACACGTACAAGGACCTTTACTGCCGCAGCCTCCGCCTGTCCCAGGAGATCTGCCGGCTCCTTGAGTGTGCCGGCCAGGACCTGCAGGAGGAGAGGATCTCTTTTATGTGCTCCAATGACGTCTCCTACGTGGTTGCACAGTGGGCCTCATGGATGAGCGGCGGCATCGCCGTCCCTCTCTTCAGGAAGCACCCCCAGGCCGACCTGGAGTACTTCATCCAGGACTCCCAGAGCTCTGTGGTCCTTGCTGGCCAGGAGTACGTGGAGCTCCTGAGTCCAGTGGTCAGGAAGCTAGGGGTCCCACTCCTGCCTCTCCCGCCTGCAGTCTACAATGGGGCAGCTGAGGAGCACGGGGTGGGGGAGTTGCCGGAACGAGACTGGAGAGACCGGGGTGCCATGATCATCTATACCAGCGGGACCACGGGGAGGCCCAAGGGTGTCCTGAGCACCCATCACAACATCAGGGCTGTGGTGAGTGCTTGTGTGGGCCACCACTATTGGGAGGGGTCAGGCAGTTGTAGACACGGTTATGGCATGGCTGATGGGGATGGTGTGGTGTTCATGTACTTTTCGGTAGGGCGTTCATAGCTGTCACCATCCTACCACCATTTCTTGTGTGTTATTTTTGTGTTCTGTAGCCTTAGTTACCATCTTTGCAAAACTCCCCAGCCATGTTACTTATCTGTAATTTATACCTTTCTTCCTTCCAAAAAACTCTTCAATGCACAATAAAGACAATTATACAGTAGGAGAAATAAAATGAAACAGAAGCTCAAACCACAGGAGGAAGGAGGTCAGTGCCATTGAGTTTAGGCTAACTCAGTCCCCTAAGTCAGTGGTAAGCTGGATCCAGGCTGGCTGCAAGGGAGCACGACTGATGTGTTACCTGTGCCTCCTAGAAGAGTGTCCTCACCTGCAGAGCCGTCTCTTGACTTGTATTTCTAAGGGGAGTGATGATCTCGCATGCGTTTGCACATAAAGGTCATGAGGTATGCAGGACAGTGTGCTCAGTGGTGACTTCAGGTGATTCAAATAGACGAGTCTCACTGCTTCTCAGTAAAAGCTGCAGATGTGCCTGGAACACCCAGCTCTGGGTTCCTTCACGGCCAAGCTGAGGATGGTGCTGGAAGTGCCAGGGAGCTCAGACAGCCATCAGAGGTTGGGCAGCTGGATACAACACTGGCCTCTGGTGAGGCCCCAAGTCCCAGGGCCTGTCAGAGATGAAATTGCACCTCTGACTGCCCCAGAGTGGGGGGGTGGGAGCCACCAAGAATGCAACTCTGAGCACCTGGGAGGAAGTTACCAGAAATGTTTGCAGAGGTCTTGGGGCACCAAATCAGAGACCCTTTCATAATGACTAAAGCCCCTGACTGTGTGACTGTTCAACACGATTAACCAAGTAAACCACAGACCCTCAGTCAGACCCTCATCATTTCATTATCATCTCCGGTAGATGCCATTAAGGATGCAGTGACAAAGAAGGAGCTTTCTCTCCCCACTCCTCTCAGATGGGGAAGCCCCCTCTGCGTTCCTCCACCCGCATAGTGGCTTCCCTCCTGTCTGAGGCTGTGCTGTTGTCTTGCAGGTGACGGGGCTGGTCCACAAGTGGGCGTGGACTAAAGACGATGTGATCCTTCATGTCCTCCCCCTGCATCATGTCCATGGCGTGGTCAACAAGCTGCTCTGTCCACTCTGGGTGGGAGCCACCTGTGTGATGCTCCCGGAGTTCAGTGCCCAGCTGGTAAGTGGGGGACAAGCTCTCAGCATGGCCAAATTGGGCACCTGAGGACCAGGCACCTTCCTCTGGTGTAAACTTTGCCAGCAGTTCAAGTTTTCTGTTGCTACCATAACAAATGATTCCAGTGTGGGGGTTTATAACAGCCCAAGTTTATCATCTTGCCGTCTGGAAGTCAGTGGTCCAAAATGAGTCTTATGGAGCTAAAATCAAGGGGTCAGCAGGGTTGATTCCATCTGGAGGCTCCAGGGGAGAATCTCTTCTTGCCTCTTCCAGTCTCTAGAGGCACCACAGTCCTTGCCTTGTGAGTGTGTCACTTCAGTCTCTGCTTCTGTGGTCACCTCTCCCTCTCTTTTAAGGACCCTCTGATCACAGTGGGCCCACCCAGCTACCAGGACCACCTCCTCATCTCAAGATCCTTAGCTTAATCACATCTGCACCTTCTGCAACATGAAGTACCACATCCCTGGACATGAGGACATTTGGAGCCATTCTTGAGCCAATTTCACGGGCTTTCAGCAGTTCTGCAGCAGATGGTTCAGTTGGGGCTCTTTATTAGTTTCCTCGATTGTCCTCTTTTCCACACATTGTTCCTTCCGAACATGCTGTGAGGTCACAGGGGAGGGGACGTGTGGCTGTGTGGGGAAGGAAGTGGGAGCGGAGCCCTCACTACTGAGCAGAGCATAGCCATGAAGGACACTGCTTTGAAGGGGAAAGGACTGGGATCTGACCTGCCGCTTGACACTTGTGACCTGTGTGCAGCTCCCCTGGAGCCTTTCGGACCCTGTCCTGAGAGCCCGGGCACAGCTCTGGGGTGAAGGCTGGCAGACAGGGCTCTGGGCCTCCCTCCCCTCCTTCAGCCGTTGAGCTTGTCTTCATCTTTTTGTGTTTTATTTTTCAGCTGCAGGTCTTAGTGGTTTACATGGTTTTACAGAAAGTCTGCAGCTTAAATATGCCCTTCAGGGCACGGTGCTGAGGCACTGTTTGCCTTCAAGCATAAAGACCTACCTGGGGCCTCTTAGCCCAGGGCTCAGGCCACTTCCTCCACCCCCCTTTCATTGTGGGCCTCCGACTGAGGGCCCTGCCAATCTGTGATTCTCAGCCCTGCTCCCTCCAGTCCAGGGATTGCTGCACTGAAGGGAAGCATGGGGGTGAGGAGCAGGCATCATCCGAGGCTGTTGTCTGCTTAGTAGGATTGACTGGTAAGGGCAGGTGGGGATGGCAACAGGCGATGTGAGAAAAAGCTCACCTCAGGCAGGGGAAGCTTCACCTGACTGGGAGGCTTTTGCACAAGGGTGCGCCAGTCCTTTGGGCTCTCCAAGACCCCCTAATTCTCCGTCCACTGGGAGGACCTCCCTGGACCAAGGGCGATGGGAAGCCTCCTCCTTGTGTAAGTTACTGTGAGCTGCTCCCCCAGCACAGCCCGCTCTACTCCACCGAGGTCTCTCAGGAGCCAGAGCTGTGCTTGTGGGTTCCGTCTGTCCACACTCCAGCACTGGTTGATTATAGGGGCAAAGGAGGGAGGGCTGAGTCTCCAGAATCCCTGTAAGCATAGGGAGAGCAGGTCCACCCTGACTCGGAGCCCCAGAAAGCCCGGATCAGGAACCTAGCAGCCCGGCCTGGCACTGACAGACTTCTCAAGTGGACATTGCCAGAGTCCTCATTTCCTAGCTCTGCTTCGGGAGCGACATGAGTGCCCAGTTGGCCTGGCAAAGGTGTGTTGGGCTGGCACAGCAGAGGAAAAAACAAAAATCGAGGAGGCCGTTTCTTCCCCAAACACAGAGACCCAGGAATGAGAAGGAAAAAAGCAGAGGAGGCATGGCTGGCCTTCCTCCTGGCTGTGCCAGGCCTTGTCCCCTTCTCTCCTCTCCCATCCCCATCGTTTTGCTCCAGCTGCACCGGCTGCCCTGCTGTCCATACACTCCACCCACCCACCTCAGTCAGCACTCTGCCTACCCCCAGTTTGCTCACCTCTCTGTAAGTCTTTGCCCATGCGTCACTCAGCAAGGCCTCAGCCACTCTAATCATCACTGCAGCCATCCTCCCCCCGCCCCCCATACTGGCCCTGCCTCTGCAATTTATCATAGCATTTACCACCTTGAAGCCCATAGAATCATCTCTCTCCTCCTAGAAGGTCCACCCCAAGAGCACAGGTTTGCCTTCAGTTCACGGTGTGTCCCCAGGGCCTAGAGCATCGGAGGATCAGAGTGTCAGTGAACTGATGGGTGAATGGATGGTTATCAGCATGATACATGGACTCCTGGGCTTCTCACTTCCCCACTGGTTGTGTGGGCCATGAGGACATGCTGCTGGGCGGCAGGTTCATACCCCTCTACAAACTGCCTTTATTTCAGTATCATGACTGGCTGGATTTGTCCATCAGGTGTATGGGGAGAAAGTCCCTTAAATCACTTAGGGGAGAGGTTATTTGTTTGATGAAATTTCACTGTATCAACTCCTCTGAAATTAGAGCATAAATAGATACCATGTAACACGATTGTCTACTTAAAATCCATTACCAGAGTCCCTTAAAGCAAGAAACTTCTCTGCAAAGCTCTGGGTTGTGCACATTCATTAAGGTCAGGACAGTAGGACTCGGCCTCTTGTGCTCATGGCCAATGGCCATGGATAGTGTGATGCATGGATGTGCCCATCAGTGTCCTTGGCTGTGGGAGATTTCACATGGAAACATGGCAAAGAGCCTCATCCTGGGCGTGCGGGAGGCCCCACCGGCCGTCCTTGGTGTTCCACCCTCTGAAGAGGTCTGTAGTTTAAAGTTTGATGGAATTGATTTTGTTGAATACATACCTGTGTAGCTTAGATGTTGTGAAAATGAGAATACATTTTGGACAAGTAAGCACTCAACAGGGAAAAAACCTACAGGGTTTTCATATCTGCTCCCAGAGCTCCAGGTTTGGTGTATTCTTTGGCTTCTTGGGCACTCTCCCATCTCTCCACAGGGGCCCCACTAGGGGCCTGGAAGCGAATGGGTGCCTTAACCACCGAGCGGCGAGGGCCATTGTCTGTCATTAGGGTGCTGCTTTCTCCTGTTGAGGTGCTGGGATGAGAGGCCACCAGGGGAACTCACAAGAAGGGTCAAATCTCAGATCTTTGTGGTTCTTTGCCCTAACTTGGAATTTCTCAAAACTGTGCAGCAGAGCTAAATATCGAAACAAGTTTGATAAAAGATTGCAACCCCGAGTTTCAGAATTTTGTGAATTTAGACATTTATATTAGTAAAGTCCTTTTACTAAATATTGGGGTTTTGTTTAAGCTTGTATTTTAGCAGTGGTGTGGGGTGACCAGAAACCTATAGTGGTGTTTAAGTCATAGATCCCAGGATCCTCTGGTCATCCTGCTAACAGTGGGGTGACAGGCCGTCACGTCCTGCGAGCCTGACTGATGAGGTGACAGTGACTCAGAGGACAGGCGGAAAGATGGATGGGCGAACTGCCTGATGTCACCCCTGAAGAACAAAGTCTGGCTGTTGATGAGCTGTCCGGAGTCTCAATCGATTTCTTGTCTCAGATGACTTGGCTCTGGCCGACTTCTTCAGGATCCAGCAGCAGGAGCACTAAATCAGGGACCTTGGGGCTGGCGCTCCCTCCTCTGTTGACCTGCTGGGTACCTGCTCAAGGGCAGGGGCTGTGCCGTGCTGGAGGCTGGGAAAGCCACCAGTGCATTCTGTTGAGGCCAGCACCCCTGCCCCGGACACCATTTCCTGTGGTTAAACATGTTGACCTGTGGCCCCAGACAAAGTTCATTCTGGGCTCTGAGAAACTGGATCTTGTTGAAAGGAGGTCAGGCAGTGTGTATATCAAGGTGCAGGGAGAGTTTGAGGTAGAGAAGCAAAGAACATTATGCTACACTGGCCCCACAGACCCAGTCACAGTGTGGAGGTACTACTGGGCAGGAGTGCTCACACCTCATAACTGCTCCTTAGTGTGGGGTCAGTGGGACAGGAGATGCTCACACCCCAGATCTGCTCCACAGTGTGGGGTCACTAGGACAGGGGGCACTCACACCTCAGGTCTGCTCCACAGTGTGAGTCACTGGACAGGGGTGCTCACACCTCAGATCTGCTCCACAGTGTGGGGTCACTGGACAGGGGGTGCTCACACCTCAGATCTGCTCCACAATGTGCGGGTCACTAGGACAGGGGGTGCTCATAGGTCTTAGGAGCCAGGCGGGCAGCTATTTTCCCATCTCCGATCTTTCATTATGGAGTGTCCTTGTTGCCAGATTTTAGCCAGAGCACCTTAAAAACAGAACAAGAACCCCTTCCTGTGTGTGGTATAGAGTTACCAAAAATTGGGTGATGGCTTCATCTGTGGGGGTCGTTGCTTTAAGCTGGTTAAATGTTGCAGTTTCTCACCTGCAGTCAATCCCATCGTTGCTTTTGCTCGGCATGGCAGTACTGGCGGTTGGGATCTGACCCCAGGTTTCCAGTCCTGCCTGCATAGCAGGGTTACCTTGGGGAGATGGTGAGTAAAAGAGGGGCCTGGAGCCCTCACATTTGATGCCTGGCAGTACCTGGACTACCTGCAGCCTGATTTGGGAACTGTTCTTTGGTCTTGCTATGACAGCTCGCATCTGAGCAGGTAGAAGTGTTTTCACGAGTGAAATGCAGGGTCTAGAGAGGGATCCCCCAGAGCTATGGTTTTTAAGTTATGAATGTGTCAAAACAACATGGAGAAGGAATATTGCGTCAGTACAGCAGCTGCCCTCTTTACTGGTTTGAGTAAATCTAAAAGTGGTGAGGCCTTTCCAGTGGTGCAGTTCTCAGGTGGATGTCTCTGTGCCAGGGTCAGAAGTCTGTATTGAGACCATGGGACTAGTTGACATCCTTCATTTGGCCGACTGTGCTCCATCCTTCCTTTAGTCTCCTGTGGGAAGCCTGGGTGGGACCATGTGTGTGGCCCATGGAGGAGGCCTGGCCAGGACCACTGATCCCCAGAGTGGATGAACAGCTCACGAGGCCTGTCCTCTCTCCTCTCGTGCCAGAG